CTAGGACTCACTCCTCTAAGCTTGGAGGGGAGGCAGCTTGAGGGGCACCAGAGACATACAGGGAAGAACTGAGCTGTTTGGCATTGGAGCGGGGGCTTTCTCCAGGACAAATGTGCTGTCAGAGGCCTTTGTTCCTTTGGTGAGCCCTTCCCTGGGGCGGCAGACAGCTGCCATATTAGGGACTCTAGCAACCTGGCTCACACTGGTTGCCCCACCCTGGTGACTCCCTGAGGCCACGCCCCACCCAACTTTCAGGCCCACCCAAGCTGTTGCCAGTTGCTTAACCACAGGATTGGCCTGTCTTGGATCCTGCTTCAGGTTTTCCTAAATTCTTTCAAACGAGCAGCGTCTGGTCTCAGCTAGCCCCATACCGCTCGTTAAGTAATACACAGAAACAAACACAGGGAGGCAGCCAAAATGAGGAGACAAAGAAACAGGTCCCAAATAAAAGAACAGAACAAAATCCCAAGAAAATAACTAAGCGAAATGGAGATAAGCAACCTAATAGATGCTGAGTTCAAAATACTGCTTATAAGGATGCTCAATGAACTCAGTGAGAACCTCAGCGAACTTAGGGAGGGCCTCAAGAGCATAAAAAAGGACCAGTCAGAAATGATGGATGCACAGTCAGAATTGAAGGAGGCATTAACTGAAATAAAGAATAATTTACACAGGTTCAATAGTAGAGTACGTAAATCCAAGAAGCAAACCATCGATTTGGAATATAAGGAAGCAAAAAATGCCCAATCAGAATAGCAAAAAGAAAAAAGAATCCAAAAAAATGAGGACAGTGTAAGGAGCCTCTGGGACAACTTCAAGTGTGCCAACATTCGCATCTTGGGGGTGCCAGAAGGAGAAGAGAGAGAACAATAATGGCAGAAAACTTTCCTAACTTGGTGAAGGAAACAGACATACAAGTCCAAGAAGCACAGAGAGTCCCAAACAAGAAGAACCCCAAGAGGCCCACACCAAGACACATCATCATCAAAATACAAAATGTGCAAGACAAAGAGAGAATCTTAAAAGCAGCAAGAGAAAGGCAGTTAGTTACCTACAAGGGAGTTCCCATAAGGTTGCCAGCTGATTTCTCAAAAGAAACTTTGCAGGCCAGAAAGGAGTGGCAAGAAATATTCAGAGTGATGAAAAGCAAGAACCTACAACCAAGATTACTCTATCCTGCAAAGCTGTCATTTAGAATCGATGGCCATAGAAAGAGTTTCACAGACAAGAAAAAGTTAAAGGAGTTCATCACCACCAAACCATTATTATATGAAATGATGAAGGGTCTTTTTGAAGAAAAAGATAAATACATGAACAAACAAAATGGCAATGAATACATATCTATTGACAGTGGAATCTACAAACAAAATTAACAGGTAGAACAGAAACATTCTCATAGATACAGAAAAATTTTTTTGGTTGCCAGATTGGAGGGGGTTTGGGGGAATGGGTGAAAAAGGTGAAGGGATTAAGAAGTACAAATTCATTGCTAGACTGACAAACCTCAAAGAAAAAGGGGTTGGGGGGTGGGAAGAAATAAACCAAAGAACTTATATGCATAACCAATGGACACAGACAATAGTGTGGGAAAAGGCATGAGGGGGGTGGGAGTGGGGAGGAGGGGGTTAATGGGTAAAAATGTGGAACATCTGTAGTATATTCTACATTCAACAATAAAGATTAAAAAAAAGTTTTATTACATAGGGTTAATCTCACTAATATATAATAAATTCTTTAAACACTAAGATGACATCAATCAGAAAGAATATATGACTCCTGTGTTCATAGCAGCACTATTTACAATAGCTAAGATCTGGAAACAGATGAGTGCCCTTCAGCAGATGAGTGAATAAAAAAGCTATGGTACATTTATTTATACAATGGAATACTACGCAGCTGTTAAAAAGGGAATTCTTACCCTTTATGACATCATAAATGAATCTGGAGAGTATTATGTTATGCAAAATAAGCTAGTCAGAGAAAGACAATACTATATGATTTCATCAATGTGTGGAATCTAATGAACAAAATAAACTGTGTAACAAAATGGAACCAGAAGCATGGTTACATGGAACAGACTGGCAGGTGCCAGAGAGGAGGGGGTGCGGGTGACTGAATAAAGAAGGTGAAGGGATTAACTAAACAACATATATTCATGCCCAGCCGGTGTGGCTCAGTGGTTGAGTGTCGACCCATGCACCAAAAGGTCGCCAGTTCAATTGCTGGTCAGGGCACATGCCCATGTTGTGGGCCAAATCCCCAGTGGGGGATGTGCAGGAGGTGGCCAATCAATGTTCTCTCTCATCGATGTTTTTATCTCTTTCTCCCTCTCCCTTTCTCTCTTTAAAATCAATAAAGAAGCCCAGCTGGTGTGGCTCAGTGGTGGAGCATCAACCCATGAACCAAGAGGTCACTGGTTTGATTCCCGGTCAGGGCACATGCCCAGGTTGTGGGCCCGATCCCTGGTCAGGGGCATGCGGGAGGCAGCCAATCAATGTTTTCTCTCATCAATGTTTCTCTCCCTTCCTCTCTCTGTAAAAATCAATAAAGAAAAAAATGTTTTTAATTATAAAGAAAAATAATTTTTAATGAACATATATTCATAACTCATGGACACAGACAATAGTGTGGTGAGGGCCAAGGGAGGGGGAGGTAGGGGTGGGTGAGGTGGGCAAAGGGGGGTAAAAGGGAGACACCTACAATAATGTCAACATTAAAATTTTAATTAAAATAAAACTAAGATGAAAAAGATGAAAACATGGAAAAGAACAAAAGGTAAATAGACTGCTCACAGAAAAAGATATGTGAATGTCTTTCTTTTTTTTCCTATCCTCACCCAAGGACATTTTTCAATTTTTTTGTTCAGATAGAGTGGGAGGGAGAGAGAGAGAGAGAGAAACATCCACGTGAAAGAGACACATCGAGTGGTTGCCACCTGCAGGACCCAACCAGGGGCGGGGACAAACTGCAACGGAGGTACGTGCCCTTAGCAGGAACTGAACCTGGTTTCTCTGGACCACAGGCCGACGCTCTAACCGCTGAGCCAAACCAGCCAGGGCATGTGAATGTCTTTCAAACAAATGAGAAGATGCTCACCATATTCACTATAAGAGAAATGTAAATTAAAACTACACTAAAGCAGCAATTGTCATCTATCAATATGACAAACATCTAAAAGAATATAAGGGTACTACCTCAAAGAGGGGAATTTGATAGTAGCTAGCAAATATACGTACGCCTTTTCCCTCTAACCCAGCAATGTCAATGTCCATCACAAACGGTGTCTGAGTCCAAACCTTCTGTGTGCAAGGCACATAAAGTTAGCCCTGGAGACCCACGTATGACTACAACCCCTGTGGCATTACAGAGTTACAAAATGTGATTTAGAAACCAAAGTCAGATAACCCTCCACTGTGTTATATTAATTATACATATAAATTTAAGGCATCGATTCCCAAGCCACATTCTGTGAAGCAAAGCCCTCAGAGACAGTCTTAGCCAGCCCTTCCTTGTTGCTTCGGCTGTGTCCTTGCTAAAGATCTCCAGTCTCAGAGTGTGTGCGAACAGTCTTGGAAACAGACCAACTAGCAGGCGTGCCCTCTAGGTGCACTGTTCTGCACCCCACACACGAACTCAGGGGTGGGGATGGGGCCCTCTTTTCCTTTTTTATTTAAGTATACTATCCACACAGTAGAGGGTATAAAGTGTACTAATCTTAAGGACACAATTTAATGGGTTTTTACACAGGTCTAAATCTATGTAACTACCAGTACATAGATATAAAATACCCCCATCTCCCAGGAACATGTATGTGTGCATGAGACAGGAGAAGATCTGTACTGTTCAAATCTCAGTCTGACAGCAGTGTGACTGAGTCTTCATCCGGAGCCCTGGCCGGAGGGGGCTTCACGCAGGAGTTCTGCTGGCTGCCAGGGGTGTGCAGCGTTCACATGTTCTGCCAGATCCACCTTGGCCTGAGCCCTCCAACAACTCCACGTGCGCGCACACACACACACACACACACACACACGTTCAACATTTATGGAATTTTCAGGTCCTGACTGGGTGGAGCTTCCAAAGGTAAAGAAGCCACAGTCCCGGCCTTTCTAGAAGGGAGCCAGTGTCGCTACAGCCCAAAGACCCCCACAGCTCACCTCTGACTCTCATGATGTGATTGCTGGCAGCTGCCATGCTCCTCTGTACCCTTTCCAGCCTCTAGAGCTGCCAGTTTTCTCGTGTGTCCAGGAAGTGGGTCCACTGATGTGGGATTGGAAGGATGTGAGCTATTGGGCCAGGAGAGAACGCCATTAAGAGGTGGGTTTATTACAGGCCACAGGGCTATAGAGGGAATTTGTAAGAAGAAAGTGGACTGATTGTTTATGGTCTGTGGAAAAAAAAAAACAGTAAGTTAAGCAGGCTCAGGTTAAGAAAGGAAGGATGGTGTTTCGAGAGCAGGAAGAAAATCTTTGTTCGAAGAGTGGCCAAGATGGTGTCAAGTGACCTTCACCCCACCCTCTCAGAGAAGACAGACAGCAGCCCAGAGGAGAGTTCCATGGTTTCCCTGATGCCAGACGATGGGACGGGATTGGGCTGGTGCTCTTGTCCCTCTAACTCAATGGTTCCATGATTCTATGATGTCACTGAAGAGAGAAGAATGGGGAGCGGGGCTCAGCTCCAGGTGCTCCAGTTCCTCTCTCCTTCGGATTTGGATAGTTTCGGGGATGAGGGGACGTGAGCTGAGTGATCGCACGTGTCCCAGCTCAGGCTCCCCTCTAGCCCCTCAGCCCCCACCACATTTATGGAGGAAAATTAGCCTGTGTGAGTCAATGCCACAGACAGAGCACCTTTTATAAAGCTGGTCAAAAGAACACAAATGAAAACAGCCTTTTATTCTTCTGTTTCTAGAAAACTTAAAGAGCAAGAGATCTATATTCAGACTGAACTGGAAAAGAACATTTGGACAAACATTGCGAGAGTGGACGAGTCTTCTAGCCAAGCCTATGAGCGCTGATGCCACAGCAGGGATATTTGTCATCCTCCTACTCATCTGCTTCATTTCCATCCTCTGTTTACTGATGGCGTTTTTATATAAATGGTATAAACTCATGCTGATGAATTGGGATCAGATTTCAAGTAACACTAGCAAGTGTATCTAGAAATAAAATAAAACAATTTAAAATAGAGTAAATAGCCCTGGCTGGTTTGGCTCAGCGGTTGGAGCATTGGACCAGAGAGTCCCTAGTTCAGTTCCCGCTAGGCCCTACGCCCCCCCCCCCAAATAAATAAATAAATAAATAAATAAATAAAAGTAAATATAATGCTGTAGCTACTATTTTTTCCAGTCAGGGTTTTAGAAATGCTAATTTCCTCTTTAAAAGTGAAGTCCCATGACAGTGTTAAATCAAGACCATTCTTCCTTTTTACGAAACTTTTGCTTGTTCATTTTCAGTTTCCAAACCAAGAAAGATGGTAAGATAGAAAATGGTTCTTGTCAAGATTGTTTAACTCCTAGTGTGGCGAAAAACAATTCGAGAGACCCGAAACTGTAAGTCTGTATCATAGAATATCATAGAAAGCCATTTTTGTGTATGATAATGGTGGCTAATATGCATGAATTTAAAAATCCCTGCTGATTGATTTTTTTTTAGTATTCTAAGGAGGCCTAGCATTCTTGTCAAGAAACGGAGTGAGGAAATTGTGACCACAGAATTTAAAAAAAAAGAGGACACAGAGGGCAAAATACAAAAGGAGCAAAATCCTGAGGAGGATAAAGAAAATCGCAAAGAGGTGACAGGCTTTTCAACTCTCAAGGGGCAGTTCAGAATTTTTTTTACTGCAAAGGGGGTAACTTACTTGGTTAGATATAATAAGGGATGGTCTCGCCTGTAATTTAGGTTTGTAGCTGAAGGAGTGCAGTGCCCATAGTCATTTTCACCATTTTTCTCAGCTTTATTGGTTCATTGTTATTTAAACGTTTACAGGTGCCAAGCCTAGACACTTGGTCATTTTTCATTCTTACATTTGTATTTCTGTTCATAATTCCCCTTCATTTTGCTGCTTTTCTTAGAATCCTAGAATCTTAGAGCTGGAGGAAGTCTTGGAGATTATCTAGGGATGCAACAAATGAGAAAATGACACGAATCGGTTAAGGTCATTCCGCCGCTGTGGCTGAGCTGAGGGCAGACCCCGTGTCCCTTCTCACGTTGTAGGCTCCTTCTACAGCAGCACACAAACATTGCCAGGGCTTTCTCGAGCTCCATGTGTGGGGCTCCCTAAAAACAACTCACAGGACTTCTCAACATAAGACCCATGCCCAGCTGGAGCCAGAATGATGGTCCAGGTGGCTCTCGGGTTTGACTGCTACGTGGAGAGATCATACATGCTACCAAAGGCCATTTGAGTATGTCAGTGTATGCTTTTATAACACTAGAAATATGAAAATGATGGATGATCGCTGCTTTTCTTTATTTTTTTCTGTTTCTCACTAATAATGTACATATAACCTGTATTTTTAAAAGGGCTTGTTGTGTTTGTAAATTGATCACTTACTCTCTTTGTGTCATTCTCTTGCAGGATGATGATTTGCAAAAAGCAGCCATAACTGTCAATGCAACCACTTCAGTTACTGATAGCAAAAGACCTTTAAAAGGAGTGACATTTTCTAGGGAGGTAATTATTGTGGATCTTGGGAAGAAATACCCTACACCTCAAAGCTATATTCAAGAACATAAAGAAAGAAAATGAAGCTCAGAAAAGCCTGAGAGTGAAAGCGATGTAACCTTAGACTAATGAGATGACAGATACAAAATCATGTTGAAAGAGAGAAATAATGGAGAATCGAGCAAATACAAATAGTATTTACCTTTGTGCAGAAAGAAGTGGGCTACATGCAAAATTCTGCAAGTACCCAGAGCTTGAATATAGTTTTTTTTAAAACGCAAATCTTGAGTTCAAGAAATTGATTGTTATTAAGTGTCCTTGCAATTCAATCTACTCAAACCCTGTCTAACATGTGAGCCAAGTTATTTGTGTTTGTGCAGAAGTCAGGTGAATGACATTCAAGGGAGCGTTGGAAACAGCATGTCCTTGATGACCACAGGCATTCATGATCAAAACCCTTTCTGCTGTCATCATGGAAACTTCCAATAACTAGGACTAGGGTCCCCTACCACATAATCCCCATTGAACTCAGTCCTGAAACTTTTCTAGTACTGACAACTGCTTCTTAATATTGATACAAGAAAACTACCATTACCAATAAAATATCCTGTTGTTAGGCAAGTCCTGAGATGATAGTATTCTTGATTTCAGTAGTTTAAAATTTGCTGTCTACATGTGGAATATGACAGTACAGAACAGCACAACATCACCCAAACCCACTGCAGTAAACATTTGTGAAATGAGAAAGAAAAAGTAGGAAACATAGCATTTGATTCAGGGGCCTACTAGTACATGGTCATGAATATGGCCTATGCTCAATAAATGTTTGTTGAGTGAAAGAATAAATGATAAGCCCAGCTGTAGGGGCTCAGTGGTTGAGCACCGACCCATGCACCAAGAGTTTGCTGGTTCAATTCCTGGTCAGGGCACATGCCCAGGTTGTGGGCCAAATTCCCAGTGGGGGGTATGCAGGAAGCAGCCAATTAATGTTCTCTCTCATTGATGTTTCTGTCTCTTTCTCTCTCTCCCTTCCTCTCTCTCCAAAATCAATAAAGAAAAAAAAAAGTGATAAATGATTTAGAATGTGTAATTAATGCGAAGTGGTGAGTATTGACACCCTTTGATGGGGAGAATCCCATTGTGAGGAGAAGAGACTTAACCAAATAGAAGAATTGGATAATACAAGCAGAGGAAATTGTATATTTCAGACAGAGAAAGGCACAAGCCAATGCAAAGAGATGAGAATATGTGTTGAGTTTAGAGGACCAGGTAGCTGGAGCTGCAGGTTGGTGTTGAGGAGAGTTTGAGAGGTGACTGAGTCAGGGTAAGGTCACTCTTAGGGTCCCAGGCTAGAGGTGTGAGGTGAAGAACAGATTACCGCAGTGTGGACAGTAGGGTGTGGGGAGTCTACAAAAACATTCCTTTAGAGCCCATGAGTTCTCTAAAAGCACTTTAAAATTTTGCCCGGCCAGTGTGGCTTAGTGGATCGAGTGTCGTCCCATGACTGAGAGGGCCCAGTTTTATTCCCAGTCAGGGCACATGCCTGGGTTGCGGGCTTGATCCCTGGTAGGGGGTGTGCAGGAGGCAGCCGATCAATGACGTTTTTCTCTCCTCCCTTCCACTCTCTCTAAAAATCAATGGAAAAATATCCTCAGGTGAAGATTAACAACAACAAAGTTGGTCTTTCACCTGATGATAATATGAAAAGTCTTTGTAAATTGTGGTAAAATATATATAACATAAAATTTACCATCTTAACAATTTTTAAGTGCACAGTTCAGTAGTGTTTAAGTACATTCACATTGTACATTCATCACCACATCCATTCACAGAACTCTCTTCATCATGTAAGACTATAACTATATCCATTAAACAGTAACTCCTCATCCCCCACCCCCACCCCAGCTTTTGGTAACCACCAATCTATTTTCTGTCTCTCTGAATTTGACGGCTCTAAGTAACTCACATAAGCAGAATCACAGTATTGTCCTTTTGTGACTGGCTTATTTCACTTAGAACAATGTTCTCAAGGTTTATCCTTGTGTCAAAAATTTCCTTCCTTTTTAAGCCTGAATAATATTTCATTTGTATGTATGCACAGTTTGTTTATCCACTCATCTCCTGATGGACATTTAGGTTGCTTCTTACCTTGTTCCTACTGTGAATGATGCTGCTATGAATATGTAAAACTTTAAGAAAGCTCAGACTCATCCAGATGCCCGTTTATAGCTGTGTATTCTCAAATGATGTCATGGTTTCATTGCCAATATTTGCATCTGTATTTATGCAACCAAGTTCCTTTGTCACAAGCTAAGGAGAAAAGGAGGAATTAACATGTGCATGATGCATCTATGTCAAAGTGAAGGCCAAATTTCCTGGTGACTGACTACATTAACCAAGGTTTCACACAATTTCAGAGAGAAGAAAACAGTAGACAATCGGCCACCAGGGCCAACAATACTGCAGGCACACAGAATTCCACTGGTGCCACAGTGACGGGTGAGCAGACACGTCAACAGAACAGTGTCTGGTGCCGAGTGGCAACGTGAACTTTATTGGTTTTACACTTTTTGTTTATATTTGGTTGGTAAATTTGTTTTGGTTTTAGAGTCAAATGGGAGCTCTGAGGATAGCAAGTTGGTGCCTGGTTTTATATTTGTACATATTTTTAAGTAACACTATGTATAATAAACCATTTAAGGCAATAAAGGTGGGGGGAATCCAGGACTGGGATACTGAAAAGCAGCAACCAGGAGATAGGTGGAGACAGCCACAGTGGCCACTCAGATGTGAGGGAGGAGAATCTGGACCAGGGAGGTGATAGAACGCAGTGAGAACATCGAGAAAGACTAAGGAATATCAATCTCTGGTTAGATAGGGGAACAAGAGGGGACACAAAGACGACCTCTGCATTTGGGTACGTTAGATTGTCAGAAACAGGAAAGCCCAGAGTGGTGTCTTATTTGAGAGAAAAGATCGTCTGTGTTGTGGTTCTGTTAGACATGAGGCGTTTGCCAGAAGTCCCGATGAAGATAGTGAGCAGGAAAGCGGTAGGGCTCCCCATCTCCTAAGCTCGGGGTCCGGTGACGACTGAGCAAGTACTCAGGATGCATTGTGGCTTTTCCTGCATAAGTGGGTGGAACTTGCCACTGTCCTCTTTAATTAGTTGTTGACCTAGGGACTTTCTTCAATGACTGCCCCAGGCAGGACACATCACCCAAAAGCCAAATGAAAAAAGCACGATAAGTTGGTCTCTTTTTAAAACTGCTATTTAGCAAAAAATAACATCAAACACCAGCAAACAGGGAAGGCCTTTTATTTATTTATTTTTTTATTTATTTTTATCCTCACCCAAGGACATTTTTCCATTTTTTGTTCAGATAGAGCGGGAGGGAGAGAGAGGAAGAGAGAGAGAGAGAAACATCGATGTGAAGGGACACACTGAGTGGCTGCCACCCGCACGACCAACCAGGGCCGGGGACAAACTGCAACCGAGGTACGTGCCCTTAGTGGGAACCGAACCCTGGTCTCTCTGTACCACAGGCCAACGCTCCAACCGCTGAGCCAAACCGGCCAGGGCTGGGAAGGCCTTTTAAAATTTTTTTAAAAATTGATATTTTTAGAGAAAGAAGAAGGGAGCAAGAGATAGAAATAGAGGGGGGGGGGAAGAGAGAGAGAGAGAGAGAGAGACTGATTTGTTGTTCCACTTATTCATGTTTCTTTCATGTGCCCTGACTGGGGATCAAACCCTCAACCTTGGTGTATGGGGACATTACTCTAACCAACTGAGCTCCCTTACCAGGGTGAAAAGGCCTGTTTCTTAAAAAATGTTTTATACAGCCCTGTCTGGTTTGGCTCAATGATTAGAGCATCGGCTTGCAGACCAAAAAGTCGTAGGTTTGATTCCCAGTCCAGGGCATGTACCTCCATTGCAGGTTCGATCCCCAGCCCTTGTCAAGGTCATGCTGGAGGCACCAATCTATGTGTCTCTCTCCCATCAAATCCTTGGTGAGGATAAAAAAAAATGTTTTATATGAAAATAATTTCAAATGTATAAGAAAGTTGCAAAAGCAGTTCAAAACTGTGTGTCTTCACTCAGATTCCCCAGTTAATGATTTACCACATTTGTTGTATAGGTCTCTCTCTCCGCATACACATATTCATATTTTTAAGCATAAAGTACCTTTAGTACTTTAGCACATATTTTCACAAAACTGGGACCCTCCCCCACATAACCACAGGTTAGCCATCCATTAACATTGGTCCACCACTGTCATCAAATCCACAAGCCTCATTCAAATTTTGCTAATCGTCTCAATTTAATTCTTTATACACCCAGGATCCAATTCAGGGTAATGCTTTCCATTTAGTTGCACTGTCTCTCTAGTCTCCTTCAATTTGGACCAGTTTCTGATTTTCCTTGACTTTTCAGACCTTTTGAAGATTACAGGCCAGTTACTTCACAGCACGTCCCTCACTCTTGTGTTGGCCTGGTGTTTCTTCATAATTGGGTTAAGGTCATGTGTCTTTGGCAGGAATATTCCAGAAGTGAACCTGTGATCTCAGTGTGTCATATCGGGGGTCATAGGCTGCCAATCTGTCCCATGAGTATTGACATAATTTTCACTGTTATCACTTGGTATCGATTAGATTTCTCCACTCTAAAATTAATAGGTAGTTTTTACTTATTAATAAGCAATAGTAGTTGACAATCTACTGAAAGGTAGGCTTTCCCTTCTGTCTAATCCATTCATTCATCTAATCTATGAGTATAAACTCTCAGATGTCTGTTTTCTTCAATGGATTATAATCCTTTACAATTATTATTATGACTATTAATTTTTTTTTTTTTTTGGTACATGCCCCTAGCGGGACCCGAACCAGGAATCTCTGGTCCGCAGGCCGATGCTCCAATCGCTGAGCCAAACCAGCGAAGGTTCCTTTACAATTATTATTTATTTGGATGCTCAAATGTTCCCACATATGGCCAGTGGGGGCCTGTTTAAGTTGACTCTTGTGTTCTTTAGATCTATCTGCAATATTCCTTTAGCATTTTCTTCCTTTACAAGATGTTCCAAGCTCAT